CTCTGTCTCAAAAAGGGTTGGCAATGTAGCTTAGTGAGGAGACTTTCAATTCCCAGTACAGGGAGGGGAGGGCAAGTCTTGGGACCCCTGCCTCTCCCTGGCATTTGGACAGTTAGGGTACCCAGAAAGGCCACTGGACTCTGCCCCCAGACCTTTGGAACAGAGGAAGCTGGCCGAGGCCAGAGAGCCCTCCCACCAGCCCTGCCTCAGGGCATCTAGGGGAGGCAATCTCAAGAGAGGCAGGCTCTCTGTCCCCAGGCATGGACGGCAGGACAGAAGGCATTACCCTCATCTACAGATAACATGTAAACCTCTGAGCACACACTGCCTCCAACTCCCCTCCCACCCTAGACTCCTGCCCTGCCCATCTTCTCTTCCCCATTTCTCAGCCATATCCAGTCCTTAGACTCTTCCTCACACTTCACACATATGCCATTGCCGCTGTTCACACCCTGCCTGCAATGTTTTTCTCCCTTTATACTACTAGTGAACTCCTATTGGGCTTTCAAAACCCTCCTGAAGTCCCACCCTCTGTGAAGCTATGAATTCCCAGTTAATCACTCTCTTCTCCATACACATGCTAGACTTTTGACAGACTTCTCTGGAGTTGTGAATCTCAAAAGAGGGTACTTACTTGTGTACATGGCTGACCCTGCACCCTTAGGCAGGGGCAAGAGCCCTGGCACCTAGAAGCTCAGGGCATGTTTGTCTAACTGAAGAAGGGACAACAGGAGGGCAAGGGAACTAGCCAGGGAGCAGGACATCTGGAACTGCTTCCTCCACCAGTGGATAAGAGGCCTGGCTGCTAGGGCATGGTAGAGAGAAACATAGTAATAGCGTTGGCTCTGGGCTGTGGTCCACATGCTCTCAGTGAGGTAGGCAGGTCTGGAAGCACCAAAAGCACCTAACTGTCCTGGTCTGCAGCCCCCAGACTGGAACTCAGGCCTGTGCTTCTCGTCTAATGTGTACTTCACTTTTTCAGGTGAGGGACAGGAAAACCAAGCACATTGTCATCATGTGACAAGGAAGAGCTGAGATACCAGTGTAACCCAAGAGACAAGCAGAGTCACAGAAGAGTTAGTCAGAGGCAGGACCGAGGTGGCCCTGCTCTGATAGGGGAGCTCCAGGAAAAGAAGTGACTGGGAGAATACTAGGCCACAGACATGCCAGGAGAAAGAGGAACATCAGAAGGTGATCTGAGCTGGGTGATGATGAACACCTATAGTCCCAGCTACCTGGGAGGCTGAGGAGGATGGATTGATTGAGCCCAGGAGTTTGAGATCAATGTCTCCACAAAAAAGGAAGTCACCCTGATCCCAGTCCAACCATAGCAGTCCTGGTGGTAGGATTCTGGACAGCTCACTTAACCTCCTTGAGCCTTCTCAGCAGAATAAGGGCAACACAGCCAGAGACTGGTGCAAGGACTGAGGCCAGGACTAGGCCTGGCATGCAGTAGATGCTTTCCGCAGGCCCCTCCCTCCCCTCCTCCCCTCACTGTCCCCCACTCTCTCGGGCCCCATACAGCAGCCCTGGCCCAGGCCCCTCTCACAGCCAGCCCCTGCTAACTGCAGGTGACAGGGCCTGCCCTAAATCTTGTGGAGCTGGGACTGAGGGAACAGATTTGTCATGGTGTAACCAGAGAGTGTCTGGGGGCTCCATGCCAGGGCTCCAGCTGGGGCCCGCGCCAGGTCCCCCTCCTCATAGCTGTCAAGGGAGGCTCAGAGACAAAGCAACTAGGGACTCCCCTTGGGCCAGGGGGTGGGGAGGGCTGTGTCTGCACAGGGACAAGAGGGAGGTAGCAGGTCCATGCCAAGTGAGCAGCCAGGACCTCCAAGAAGCCCCCACCAGGGAGACACACACACAAGTGAGCACCAGTGCTCATGCTGCCACTGACCAGCTGGGTCACCTTGGACAAATTATCACCTCTCTGAACCTGATTTTGCTCATCTAGAATAACATTATCTCATTCTGCAGGTTTGATATGAGGATCAAACAAACCCAGATTGGCCAAGGCAGCAGCCACAGCAGCTGGCATGCCACAGACTTCTCCTCCTCATTCTTCCCCTTTCTTATCCCCACTTCTCCTTTTCTCTCTGCTAGTATTTTTTCCACCAAGGTTGGACTTACCAAATGGATCATAAGGGCTAGGGGCATCCAAGGGAAGTTATACCTAGATTTTGAGAGGGTGGGATACACAGAGAAGGCTATTTGAAAAGGGAACAAAATCAGAATTCTCCACTCTGGACCTGGGGCATTGGCCCTGGTTTACCAAATGCCCACATCACTGCATTCACAGACTCATCCGTCATTTATTTTTGCTTTCACTGCAAGGATGGTATAAGACACTTTATCAGGACAGCTGACTCCCTCACTTGGTAACATGGCACCACAGTTCCTGAGGGGGATGGCTGAAAGCTCTAGACAGAGGTTCCTGGAAGGAAGGATGAGTTCCCAGTTCTTGCCTCCCCTCCTGCCTGGGCTCTGAGGACCTGGAGTGCTGCCCCCAGTTGATTGTGGGGGGAGAGAAATCTGTACTCCTCCAGTCAAAAAGGAGACTTGTATGCATCTGACCACTCCCCCTCCCCCTTCCACCCTGCCCCAGGACCTGGGCTTTCAGTGAGAGCAACCCCCTGGAGGAAGGTGAGAGTCCAGCAGCTGGCTGACCCTCTCCCAGAGCCCCTCTGCCAGGGCACCCAGCCAGCAAGTGGTCATTTGGTCATTCGCTGCACACTCTCGGAACCCTTTCCTGCGCACAAGGCCTGGGCCAAGCCAGGCAGGCAGGATCTCATCATTTACAGAAAGGCCCGGAAGAAGGGTGCTGGGGAGGGGCCAAGGGGCAGCCATCTCGGTAGAGGAGGCAGGGAGGGTAACCGAGGCCAGCTAAAGGTGGAAGATGGGTCAGCCTGGAAAAGAGGGGGAAGAAGAGAGACCCCTGTAGAGAGAGCAGCTCCTGCCAACATTTGCCCTGACTCTGAACTCTACAATTTTCCTTGGGCAGCTCCTACCTCCTAATAAGTCTCCTCCTGTCTGCAGCACCATGCCCAGCATCATCTGAGCTGTGGCATAGCCTAGCCAGCCTTCCTGCCACCAGTCTTGATGCCTCTGAGCCTTCATCAACCTTGATCTGAGTTGTGGGACTGCATAACTCTATAATCATAAAACTCCCCTAGCCCCAACTGTGATTGAATGTGAGTAAATAGATAAAGATGCTTGTTAGTTCCAGGACACTAGATAAGATCTGTATCAGCTATAAGGTCCCAAAGTAAATTACTCAACTCTTTGTTCGAAACTGATGTTCCGGACACCGCTATCTATAGAACAATCTACAAACATCTGCTGACCATCAGTACGTGTCAGCTGACCACTAACTTTTGTTCCTTGTCTGTAAATTTCGCCTGTTAACTTCCCCTGCAACCCCCTATAAAAAGAGCCTCGGACTCTGGGCTAGTCGCCTCTCTAAGCTACTTTGCTTTGGGAGTGCCGTCTGGACAGACTAAGGTCTGTTTTACTTCCCAACTTGTCCGGTGTGTTCCTTCCCGGGTGTTCTTCGCTGCAGTCAGCTCCTTAGAGTGTCCTTTCTAACCTACAAATCCGATCCAGTCACCTTCCTGTTACAAGCCTCCAGGCCTGGTGGCACTTGGTACAGGCTCCCAGGGCAAGGCTTCTGAGGCCTCTTAAGACCAGATCCTTCTGGTGCTGGAGGACACTGGGTGAAAGCTGTTCCCAGCCCTCCATGCTGCAACAGCTCCCGGAAGACAGTAATCCTTGTGACCTGCATCACTGTGCCCAGGACCAGGACAGGGCAGGGACACCACAGATGCCGCATACATCCATGTTTACTAAAGCGAAGGATAGAAGAAAGAGAGAGGGGGAGGGAGAGAGAGAGGTGCTTGTCAATCCCACTTTAGGAAAATTGGCTCCATGATGTTTATTGCAAACTGCAATTTAGCATCTCTATTCAGGTCCTCTCCACGTTTAATTATATATAACATGATGGTGGGGAGGAAGCAGAGAAAAGAGTACATAGCATTTCCTCCTGGCTCCCTTCCTCCCTGAATGTTGGAAAGGTCAAAGATGAGAAATGCAGCCCAGCAGAGGGAGGGACACAAAGGGCCTGGCACCTTCTGTGGCTTTAGGCACCAAATGCGAACAGCCAGAAAGCAGCCAATGTCCTGGCCGCAGGATGGCCTGGTGGCTCCAGCTAACACTGAGAAACAGCTTAGCAAATTCTTGCAATTAGGCTCTTTCCCTTTGGAGGCCCATAGAGGTTGAGTGACTGCTCCACCACAGAGCAAGTGGAGAGGAGTTGCCGGACACCCCAGCCCTGCTCCTCCCATGGGCTGAGTGGTCCAGAGGGTGGGCTCAGCCCCTCACCATAGGCTGCAGCCCTCTGGGTTGTTCAACCTCTCCTTCCCACAGACAGAGACATGGCTCCCCCTGGTACCCCCCAGGAGACCCTTTTCATCCAACCTTACAGCTTCCAACTCCCCACCATGATCCTCACCCTCTCTCAGTGCTGTGAGGGCAAAGCTCCAATTACCTCATTTGATTGTTTAATTGGGTGGGGAGGGGAAGGAAATTAAACTCTTCAACAGGGATCTTCCCTGCAGGGCCAAAAATGGAATGAGGAGAAAGGAATCCCCCACTGCCTGCCCTGGATCCTCCCACTTCCACCCCCAGATCCCAGGATCAGACAGAGTCTGTGGTTACAGCCCCAGGAGCCAGAGGATGAGGGCTGTGTCCTCCCACCAGCCAGCCAGCCCCTGTGAAACTAGAAGGCAGTTAGAGTATGCAGGGGCCAGGGTCCTGCCTTGGAGGGTCTGATTCTGCTGTTCTCTTCTTTGCCCTCCTTATTGACTCTCCCTGGAGCTCACTTGAGACCCTCTGCCTCTCTCTTTCTCTCTCTCTCTCTCTCTCTCTCTCTCTCTCTCTCTCTCTCTTTCATTCTCTCCCTTGATCTCTTGGTTCCAGAACAGCCCCACCCCCAAGGTGGCCCAGGAAGGACCTCGTGGCTCCTGGGGGGCACAGTGGCCATGGTCCTCATCCTTGGTGTGGCTCTCGCTGTCTTCTTTCTGTACCACCAGCAGCAGAAGAGCCAGCTGGGGACGGACAGTGGCAGGTGAGTGTCAGCCTGTTTCTCCACCCACCCTTGTAGCTCCTGGACACAGAACACCTGAACTTGAGCATGTGGGGCTCTGACGTGCTCCCTCTCCTGGGGGATGGACATTATCCTTTGGCTGAAGATCAACCCTCAAGGGTGCCAGGTATCTACCCTGTGTCATAAAGATGCATTTCACCCTCACGGCAACTCAGAGAAGTAGCTGCACTATTATAGCCCACAATTTACAGGTGAGAAAACTGAGGCATGAAGAGATTTTAAAAAACACACAATTTTACCTTCCTCCAGCCACTGACAAGCAGTGAGGGCTGGCTAAGGGTCAGAAGAACAAGCAAGGCACAAAGTTCACGGGGAAATCAAAAGCCCCAGTCATCACAATAAACAATATTTTAGTGCAAGTCTTTTTTGTTGTTTCATTTTGAGAGTAAGTCTCACTGTTCCCCAGCTGCCTCAAACTCTTGGGCTCGAGCAATTCTCCTGCCTCAGCATCCCAAACAGGTGGAACTACAGGCACATCTAACCATGCCCAGTTTTAATAGAATAGCCTTTAAAAATCAAAATGAATGCCAAAAGTTCATGGTGACCGAAATACTAACTTTTAAAATAAAGGCAGGATTAGAATTACTGATTTTTTTCTTTTGCCTCACGCTCCAATATGGCTCAGCATGCCATTATTACTGATCTTGTCTTTATTTAAAATGTTAACATTTTGTTCCTTATGGATTTTTGCGTTAATTTTCACCTTTAAAATATTGCAGTAAATATTTACTGCAATGGGCTGAGATATTTTTGTGACCCCACATTTCACACCTGAGGCCTCACTCTCATGGCCCCAGACACAGCCCCTGGATTTCCCACTGTCCTTTGAATGGGCTGGGCCAGGCTGGCCTGGGCTGGAACAGAGACACCTAGAAAAGCTGAGTGGGCCTCTCGCCTTCCCTCTTCCTCTGCTCCATGCTCAGTAGCCACATGCCAAGCTCTGGCCACATAAGAGGCTTCCTGGGAGCAGAGCCCTCGGGTCTATCCTCCTGTCTGGGCTCAGGGACCAGTATTGGTCAGGTGGCCTGGCCAGGGCACAATGCCCATGTGAACACCTATGCTGAAAGCTCACCCGTATTCTGTTCCCCAGGACTGACCTGTCTCCCTCCCAGAAGCTGGAGCCTCCTCCTGACAGCTACCTTGCACTGGAAGACATCTAGGTGGGCCTGGGACAGCAGAAAACAGGCTCTCAAGACTTGGGGGACAAGGAGAAAAATGGAGATGACCCCAGGCAGGGAGCCCAACGTGAACAAACCCATTGCATCCCCAAGGACCCATTCTCACAAGCCCACATCCAGCCCTGCCCTCACCCCTACCCTGAGAGGTAGCAAACTAGAACCCTCCTACACAGGGCCCCCGGGGAACCTTTCTCCCCACCTCTCAGTCCAATCATTCATTTAAAAGACTCATTAGTACTATCAGGTTCCTGGCCAGCTGCTGATCCCTGGGAGAGGCAGTAAAGCTAAAGGCTTAGTTAAGGTGCCCTTGTGCCCTCCAAGACAGTCACCATTGAGGTGGACACCAGCATGGGGTGCTTGGGAACCAGGGGGAGTCCTGTCAGACTAGAGGGCCACCTGGAGCTGGGCATGGGAAGGTCTTGTAGCAGTCATCTCTTTCTCTTCCAGAGTCTGCACCCAGAGCCAGCGAAGCAGCAGGAAGAGGAACTACAAAAACCACCCCTGCACTCCCCCTACTATGACCTGGGGGTCTCCCCCTCCTACCACCCCTTGGTAAGGAGGACAGAACTGTGAGAACAGTACCCCCAGCCCAGATCCACTGGCCTAGCTGAGAGTTCAGCTGCCTTAGGGGAAAGAAGACAAAGAAGGCTGAGAAGGCCAGCTCAGGCCAGGCACAGGAGGGCCCCCAAGAGTGGAGCCTGCAGATCCCCCAAGCAAAGGGGTGCTTCACACTGGCCAGGCCAGGGAGGAAAGTAGGACTCCCAGGGAGCCTGAGCCCAGCCCAATGCCCAGCTCTATCTCCCCAAGGCCCAGCCCCTCAGCTCTGTATCCTGCACCCCAGCCTCTAGATCCTGCCAGAGACCTCCAGAAAGCCAGCCATGTCCCCTCTTCCTGGCCCCACTCCCAGCTGCTTAGAGACTCAGCTTCTACTTGAATAGAGGCCTCCTCTGCCCACACCCTTCTGTCAGCAGACTTGGGGCTTGGGGGTGGTACCCCATATGGTGCCAGCCCAGAGACCCAGACCAGAGCGCCTGGGCCCAAAGATAACACCCTCTCTCTTGGCACTGGTGGGCAAGCCAGGCCTTTGTCTCCACACTGCAGCCATCCTCCCTCTTAGCTGGAAGTGCCAATGAAGGCCCATCTTAGGAGCCAAATCTGCCCCCAGGGAGGCCGCATTCCCTTCCAGGATGCTGGGCCTAGAGGACTAGCCTGGCCTCCTCTTCTTCTGATACTGTGCAGAGAGCAAAGACCACCAGCTGGTCAGACTTGAGAGTGAGCTGGAACTTCCTGTAGACAGACATAGAGCCCACTCCTCAGACAGCCGCTGGGCGTCCCAGTACTGTTCTCTCCATCTGAGGGTGCATCACATGGCTCAGGCTGTACCATGTGGCCCTGCCGGCTGTGACAGAGGGATCACAATTGCAGTGTAGAGCACTCATTGTGTGCCAGGCACCTTGCTAGTTGCTATTTAAACACCATTCTTCTTAATCTCATAGCAATCTATGTAATAAACCCTTTCACTAGCCATTGGATAGATGAGGAAACTGAGACCCAGTGAACTCAAGAGACTTCCCCCAGATCACCCAGTGAGTAACTGGGAAAAGTACAGCTCAAACCCTAGGTCTTCTGACTCCCAAGTTCAGGCACTGACCGTGCAGCTGCCACTATGAGGACCAGCTGTGTATGGAGTTACATGGAGACAAAGAGCGGAAAGAAGGGCTCCAGGAGCCTTCAGGGGCAGCTCAGCTGCGTAGAGCCCTCTGTGGCCTCAGGCTGACTGTGTGCAGTGAAAGGCCTGGGTCTGCTCCCTGGCTGCCTCTCTGCTCCAGGAGCCCCGAGAGTAGGCAAGGCTGCCCTAGAAGTGTGTGAGCTGGGATAGAGAGGAGATACACTATTCTGGAAAAGAGACAACCCTGCCCCATTCAGGATTTGCCAAACGGGCCTTCTCCCTCAATCTCCAGTCAGGAGTCCCACGCATTTCTCAGCGCCATACAGGAGGGGGAGGGGGAATCCTGAGGCATGGAGGGAGAAGATGATGGAAGTTAGCAATCTGAAAGCCATAGAAGACTCCAATAGGATCCCCTGTAGCCTGGGCCCAGGCTCGGCATAAAAATCGCTGTGATGTAACAGGACAGCTGCAGCTGGCCTTAATCCCCACCAACAACTTCCCATCTTGCTCTTGACTGCTGCCCCCTCTTCCTGGCATGCACAGCCCTCCCTGGGGACCCAGGAGGAGCCAGGCCATGCCTGAAAGCACCAGCTCAAGGACAGTGCTCATACTGTGACTCCCCTCTGCACACTTCCCCTCCCTCCTTTCAAAGGAACAAAAGAACCCAAGACTTCAGCACATGGCTCAGCTCAAGTTAGACTGACAAAATGCCCAGATGAGATTATCCATTCAAGAGACTCTTGGGACAAAAAGCAAGGAGAACCACATCTACCCACCAGCTATTGCTGGAGGGGCCAGTTGATGGGGCACCCAGGTAGAGAGATGCCTGTAAGAATGGCCTGTGGGGGTGGCATGTACAGAACCCAGGGGAAGGGAAACTCTGGAATCCTAGGGAAATTCCCTTGTTGCCAAAAGAAGTGTAATTCCTTTTAGCTCACAGAGCAATTACTGGGCCAGGAATGGATTTATCCCCAATACTCTGGTTTGTTGGTGGTGCAGCTTGTATGCAAGTCACATTATTGATGTTGTCATCAATTCTCCTTCTCAACAAGTAGTGAGAGAGTGAGGCAGAGAGCTTGCCGTATTCACCAGGGCAGGACTGAGTTGGGAGCCTGCAGGGAGCCTGAGGGGCCAGCAACCTGAAGCTCATCGAAGCTTAGGGTCCCCAGCCTGAGTAGGCCCAGGTCCCCTATCTTTGTGGACTAGGCCCATGCTGTACACACATCTGAGGGTTCCAACTAAGGCATGGCACTCCTCCCAGTTCTGCCAAGGTTTCTGGGCTAGGAGTCCACTCGGGTGGCAGGTACCATCATTTGGAGAGCTGGGTGGATCTCAGGGAGAATTTGGGAGGATCCACAGCTGGTGTCTGGAGGAGGAGAGGAGACATGGCTTCACCTTTAAGGAGAGGGGCTGCCACCTCCTCAGCACTGTGAGCACATACAGCCCAGGCTAGAAGCAGAAGACCCGGCACAATGGCCCTTGGAGGACAGAGTTCTCAAGATACTGAATCAGCTCAGAGCCCCCAAGAAACAGACACCATGGTGAGATTAGACAGGCAAGAGGCACTGGGGGCACCTGTGAGGACATGGGAGGCAGAAGGAGAGGGCAAGCAGATCCTTGATGCTGCCCAAGCTAGGAGAGGAGAATGGAAGCAGGACTGGCTAGGAAGTCTTAGGATGACAGCACAATCTAGCCAGGCAGTAGAGAGTCTTTGGGCCCTCATTCCCATTAGAGAACTCCTGTGCTCCACAGCAGTGTGTGTGTGCCAGACCCACCCTGGCCAGTCTGTTTTGGGAGAAGTCTGGGACAAGTGTAGCCTTGGTACAGTGCCATGGATCCAGAGGGACAGCAGGTAGGGCTGCAGCCAACCATGCTCACATCACAGGAGATCTGAGCCATCCATGTCCATAGCTACCATAGTCACATAGGTCTTTTCATCCATCTGGGTTCAGGGAGCAGCTCCTTCACAACTCAGGGGGCTTCTCTTTCTAAGGGATGGAGCCCCTCTGCTGTGGTAGACCTGAAAGCCATGACCCATACTCCCCATCTCCTTTCTATATCCATTTTCTGCTCCCCTCACTCAGCTATCTCCACAGTGTATCACAGAAGCCAATCTGGGAGCGTGATCCAGATCTCCATCCTGAGGACTCTGAACCCTTGATGAGTGTGCCCTTTTCATGCAGGCTTGTTGCATGTCTCCATACATGGTCAATCAGGAGAGGCACCCCAAGCAAGCCATGTATGGGTTCTACCTGCTCCTCCCTACACCTGGTATGGTACAGCCACCCACACCCGTCTTGCTGGTGGAAGTCAATTACCCCTACCAACATGTGACTCCTCTTCTTGCCTGCTGGTTCCAGGACACATGGAGTCTAGGTGTACAGGCAGCAGCCCTATCTTCTGCCCCAATGGGACCATCCACACTGCAGAGCCCAAAGTTGCAGGACAGAAACACAAAGTCTCCCAGTGGGTCATTGAGAGTAGCAGAAAATCACTCGTGCTAGATTTCATCCTTTAGTTCCTTCTTCCTCCTGGGGACACAGCTCCATTTAGAGGCCTTTCAAAGTACTGCCACTAAGCTGTCCTTCAGCCGGCATTTAGAAGACTCCTCTAGCAGGTATGATCAGGACTACCACTTGATTGAGGAAATAGCCATTGACCAACTCAGTCTGCCAGTTTGCTATTATAAGATAGCATCATCTGGGTGACCATAAAAAGAGAGATGTATTTCTCACAGTCCTAAAGAGCCTAGAAAGTCCAAAACCAAGGCTGGAAGATTCAGATCCTGGCAAAGACAGTGCTTTCTAGTGCATCTCTCTGTGCCTTCAAATGGTGGAAGAAGAACGGAGTCCTATCCACCTAGAGGCTTCAGTTCCTAGTATTATCATCTTGGGGGCTAGGATATCAACATGGGATTTGGAGGATGCCAACATTCAGACCAGAGCATCAACTATCATCCTCTAGAATCCATTTGGTTTTTGTAAGGGCCAGACTTACGCATTAAATGGAGATAAGATTGAAACCACCACCCCTGCATCCTTTAGGTCTTAAATGAAGGCACTAATCTCTCCCACATCAGTTTGTTTTATTCTCTTGGTCATAGAATGGCAGCTTCAGAGGCGTGCTCTTGCATCTCAGCCCACAGACCAAGGACCCAATGTGGAGTTAGTATGTCAATCCCAGTTCTGCCCTTATGTGCTGGGGATATGCCATGCCCCTAGAAATGAATTTGTCCTATCCTTTGGGGTCCTCATGAAGGTGTTGAATTCCACGTTCTGCAAAAGTACACTCAAGAAAATGAATTCTGGCTTATGGAGAGCTTGTTGTGGCCCTCTTAATCATGAATCCTCAAAACCCACCTAAGGATGCTCATCTGGCTTCTGCCAATGCTTGCTGGCCAATTCCTGCCCCTCCTTGCTCCAAGGTATGTAATCCTCTGTGATCAGGTCCAACATGGTCCCAGCTGGGTCTCTTTAACCCTAAATGTCAACCTTCAGCCAGGAGCAGAGGTGGGAGGGCAGCTCCAGAGGGGAACGCCTATTTTTTGCTGGGAAGGCATTTGCTGTGTCCTCCAACATGGATTGGTGATAGCTGTAACTAAAGAAGAGGGAGCCACCTCTGCCTGCTCTGAGGGATGCATCCTCAGGGTTGCTGTCCATTCATCCCTACCTCCGTTCCAGGGTCCCAGGTTTTCCCACTCAGGGCTTTTACTTTACCCAGCAGGTCTGGGGGCTGAGGCCCTCTCGAGCTCTGTGATTCCTACTCTCACAGCCTGTGTCTGCTCCTCAGCTCCATCCTCTCCCTTTTGAAGCTACCGGAAGGTCTCTGGCTCTCCACTGAGCTCTCACTGTCGGTGGCTCCTGGTTTTCATTATTTATATATTGATGCCACAGGACAGTGGCGTTGTTTCTTGCATCTCTTCCAAATGCCTGAACATGTCCCTCCACCAGGATGTCCTCTCAGGTCACCACTGGTGAAATCTTCAGCAACTGGGCTACTGCCTTGTGCTGGGTACACTCTATGCCCTGCTTCCCACTCTGGGTGGGCTCCTTCTTACCAGAGACAATGAATGAGCCAGGCCCAAATCTCCATTTGACCCTTTACACCTGCTTTTTTTGACCACTCCTGGTATCACTCAGCAAAAGTCACAGGTCACTGCTGTCTGTCCATTTCTGCATCAGATTTTATTAAGGTTGAATGCAATATGCCCAGGGCTCACTGGGCAGCCCCATATCCTTGGAATCTATGATAAAAATGGCAGAACATCCCTCACCCCCAGCTGGATAAGAGGTCCCAAACCATCTGTAGAACCCTCTCCATTTGCCTGGCTGAGATATTCCCAATGCACTGTTCTTCATTGCCTCTCAATCTCCCAGGCATTACTGGTGGTCCAACCCAATGTGATCCCATACCAAGGGTGCTCATTTGGAAAGGACCTACAGAAAGATGTTATCTTGATGCTGATGTTTTCTCTGAAGATGCCTCAGTGGCACCAAGGGGTCTGGGCAGCCCTAGGACACCCCGGCCTCCCACCCACCTGGACACCCATCCCCAGATATCTTCATGATGATGGTCAGGACAAGAGGGGCATCCACTCCTGCCTCACCACTGAGGTGGGGAACACATACACAGTCCAAGTGTCCAGCCTTTGCCACCGCAGGATGGCTCCACACTGTCCCTCAGGGACAGCCACCCTTCCCACCTATGGGAGCCCCTGCAGTGGACTCAAGCCTTTTCTGACCCTATGGCCATGAGACAAAGCAAGTCTGAGCTGCCTATTAGGGCCCTCAGAGGCCCCTATGTGCATGCTGCCCTGTTTACTTGGAACCCTCTCCCACTGACACCCACCCTCCCAGCCCTCTGCATATATGGTGGGACCCAGAATTCCTGTCTCTCTACTCCCTCCCTTTCCTTCTGTCTCTATACACCCAACCCCTCCCAGGGTGCCTTCTTTCTGGAAAATAGGGCCCTTTACATGCTATTCTTCACCAGCTCTGGAAGCACAGAGGGCTGAGGGAGAAGGCGTCAGGGTGTGACTTTCACTGGTGAGAAATCAGGAGTTAATTGCACTAATCTTAGCCCTGCAGTTTGTCCCTGATCTCAGGCACTGATGGGCAGCAGATAAATGTTGCCAGAGGGCAACCCAAATCAGGACACCCAGCCTCGGCCTCCTCTGCTGCCCAGCTAAGGGGAAGAGTGAGTGACAGGCTGCAGCCAGTCTAGAGGGGCCACTCCAACAGCACAGAGCCCTTGTCCTGCCCTTGGCCTCTTGCCCTCCTGGCCTGGTAGGCTCTAGCTCTCCTTTGGCCTGCTCTGTGGGCAGGACGCTCTGTCTATCTATGTAATCATCAGCATTGAGCAACGTGCTAAGGAGGAGGCTGTGAAGATCAGAGATAAGACCTAAAAGGTCCTCAGATCATCAAGTCACCTCAGATGTTTCTGAAGGGGAAACCAAGGCCCTGGGAGGGAGAAGGACTTGGCACAGCCCCACCACAAGTTGTCAGTTTTGCTGGATCCGAGTGGTGGCAGGGAAGGCCTCTCTCTGCCTGTTGACTTACTCTAATAATTTCCACAACAAACTAAGGGCCCAATAATGCAGTGCCACTGAAGAGCCAGCGCCAGGGTTGGAGCACTAGGCTCTGACAATAATGATAATAATCCTCATAAATTGTATCTTCCCACTGACAAGTGAGATACCAGGCTCAGCTCAGATAGGTTGACCAATCTGCCCAACAAGTCACAGCAACTGGCCCAGCTAAACTCCAAAGCCAGGTGCTCTTAGTGACTCCACATTCCTCTTAGTGTCTCCTTTGCTCTGCTGAAAACTGTGGCCTGGGCCAACGCAGCCCTTCTCCCACCTGTCTCGCCCCTCCAGGTAATAATAGGGTAGGCCTGAATCATCTCAGAGCCAAGCCTAGTGAGGCTAGGAGGGGAACCCATGCCACCCCACACCACCTCTGTTCGCCGATGCTCAGGATCCAACAGATCATAGCCTAGTAGAGCACATAAATGCCTGGCAGCTGTACCTGTAAATATCTCTTCTTTACTTCTGTGTCCTCTGCTATCACTGACCACTTGGCCTTCCGGTTCTCTCTCTTCTGTCCCCCATCCTCCTGGCTTCCCTCCCTGCTCTTGCACCCACTGCACCCCCAACCGCCCCATGGCATCCCAATGATCTGTCCTGGCTGGGCCTGGCTTCTCCTCCCTCCTGCCATCTCTCCCTCTGCCTCTTTCCCAGGGTCCTGGCCTAAAGGACACTGATGTTCACTATGCAGAGCTGGACACCTCAGCACTGCAACTCATGCCAGGGCCAGGAACCATGGAGCCAGGACCTGGAGAGGTGGTGGAATATGCCACCATCCAGCTGAGCCCACCCTAGAGCATGCTTGCCTTGCTGCCTGCTCACGCTGCTCTGGACTCAGGTACCCCTGCCCACCACCTCCTGTTCTTTGGGCCTCTCTTCACCATTCCTGGCAGTGCCTGTGCCCCAGCTTCATGGAGGATGGGAGGCATACAGGGCTGGGGCCCTGGAATTGAAGAGGGGAGACAAGAGGATTCTGGCAGGTACAAGAGAAGCAACACTACCAGGAGCCCACAATTCTGGAATGCAATTTCACATTTGCCACTAACTCATATTGCCTGATCACATTCTCTCCCTCTCTCTGAACTTCAGTTGCCCCACTCGTGAAGTGAGAATAGACCCAGCAGTCTCTGGGCTCCTTCCTGTGCCAACAGCCCTCCTTATCCATCATGGCTCTCAGAAGCTGCCTGACTCCCTGCATCACAGATGGCCCTTAGCCCTCACCCCGCACGAGACACCTGGATGTTCCATTCTCTTTTCTTACCAAGAACCCCTCAACATCAAGGCTGTGCATTCACATTTCCCCTTGATCTCCTTTGGCCCAGTTGAAGTTAAAGTCAGTCAACCTTTATCGAGCACCTGCCCATCCCAGGCACTGTGCTGGGGACTTGGTGTTGGGGGAGCTTACTGGATTCAAGAGGCTCCCTGTAAGGTCCCTAAGAGAGGCTTCTCCAGAGGGCCCTGCAGAATGATCCCAAGAGCCAGCTGGGTTTCCAGACCCACAAACAGAAGTCTGCCCCATACCCCTCAGTTGTTCCTACCCCCTTGTGCCTTGGCAACATGTCACCTCCAGCCACCCCTGCAGGTGAATTGTGTTGCCCTCTCACCCTATAAGTGTGGGCAAGAGAAGAGCCAAGGGCAAGAGACTCTACAGCTGCCCACACAGCTGTCCCTGGAGTGTGTGGCACTGGGACCTGAGTGCCTCCCTGCTCCAGCTTGCCCTCCTCTCCCCAGCAAGGGATGCTGCAGGCAAAAGTGAGGAGCTGGGTTCCGCTGGGCTCCCTCCTTCCCAGCCTCTCGAACCCAGCTACTGCAGCTTCTTGTGAGGTCTGGCCCCAGGAGAGGCCCAACCACGGGGGGGAAGGCATGAGGCTTGGGTGGGGGAGGCAGGCTGAGGGGCCCAGAAAAAAGCCATTAATCCCATAAATCCTAATTTGGACACCCTCCCTCCCGGGCTCACTGAAGTACTTGGAGTTGGGGCGGGTATAATCCTGGGAGCTCCTGGCAGAAACCCAAGGGAAGGAGGGTCCTGCTGCCTCCCTTGCTGGCTTTCACTTGTCACACATTCCACCCTCAGCAGACCCTGGGATGGGGGCAGGGAGGGCATCTCTAGCCCAGAGGGGCCCTCTGTTTGGGTCCAGAGTCTGAAAAGGGCTGTACAGGGTCCCCGGCCCAGTGGAGGAGCCACAAGGAGCTGCTGTTTGACAAGCAGGGAGCGTGGGGGATGGGCGCAGAGCAAGGCGGGCTGGGGTGGTGTGGGGAGGGGAGGAGACTGTTGCTGGGCCCGGGGAGCCTCTTCCCATCCTGCTTCACTCTTTCCTGCCTGGGACAGCCCCACAGGAGGAACCTGGATGACAGGCAGGAGCAGGTGTGCGGCCACTGTACCAACTTTCCCCATATCCGCCCCCGCCCCTTGAGAGTGGAGCAGGCCTGAGCCACAGACCCCAAGAAAAGTCCCCATGTGAGCGCCTCACCCCCTTGGCTAGGGAATGCCTGGCCCTCTAGGCCATTCCACACCAGCGCCTGTGGCAGAGCCAGGCAGAGCGGTGCCTCCCTGGAAAGGGGAGGAGGACTTGAGGCTGGGATGGCGGGTGAGGAGCCAGGCGCTCAGCCTTGCCCCCTCTCCCCCTTGGCCTGGCCCGGCCCTCCTGGCTGCCCTCAGCATTTCCTCTCCTCTGCCAGCCTCTCCCTCTCCCAGCTTCCCACTTTCAGTTCTCCTTCACACATCTGTTTCTCTCTCTATCCCCTGGATCCCCTCCCCTTCTCTCTCCCTTTATGGCTCCCCCTGCCCTTTCATCTCCCCCTTCCCAGGCATCCTCCCCCAAGAAGTCACTGGTTCCAGAAGCCAGGACTTCAAAAGGAGATCAAAGCAGGG